TATTATAAACATCAATTGGACGCTAATAATAACACGAGTATAATTAGATTACAATATTTATTGCCTTATCTTATATTGAATAAATATATCAAGTATTATTCAACATTATATACACTACAAATATAAAGTATCTACATAGCATTTTCCCATCAAACTCAATGTAAAGTGAGTTAAAAGTATTTACATAAAAGTTAATAAATAGATTAATCACAATTAAAAGTTACCGATTTTTAAAAATATTTAATCAAAACGTATGTCCGATAGTTGGCTAAAGTTTCCAAAAATAATTTGTTTAATTTTGACCTCGAGTAGCCATTGCCGCAACTAGTGTTAAACTGAACGGATCGGTTGGTTTGGGGAACCGCTAACACTGGCCATTGATTATCATGCAAGTTTATGTCATGAAATTTATACATTTGATGTTTATCTATCATTTGAAATACTGATTAATGATTTCCCGCTACACACTCTCCCGTTACAGACCTATAACCGAACCCCAAAAACCGTATTGAAAAGCATTGAGGGAAATGTGTATCGGTTTTGGTGGTGTTTTTAAAAATCGGTAACTTTTAATTGTGATTAATCTATTTATTAACTTTTATGTAAATACTTTTAACTCACTTTACATTGAGTTTAATGGGAAAATGCTATGTAGATACTTTATATTTGTAGTGTACATCTATAGTATATTCTGTATACATTAATAACACTTCCTTTAAGTATATGAATTTTATTTACACCAAACCTCTACACTCTTACTAGAAGTGCAATCAGTTATAAATTCATAAATAAAATGTTATTAAATTTACAAAAACCGTATGTTTACTTAGAAATATGTAAACATGCAAACATTTAAAGTGTAAATACATTTATATTCAATATTTTTATTCAGTTATTGAAATTTTATTAATATTTTATGTTTAGTTAACTGAACTTTATTTATATTCTAATTTGTTTTGCATTAGATTTAAAACACCATGATTTGGACATTATTTATATTTTTGGTCATATTTGGCCACAATTTAGTGGAAAATAATGAATTAACAATTGATGTGAAATTGAGAACCAATGGAAGTGTTGTGGGAACTGATGACAAGAATATTGGGTTTGAAGGGAACCCAAAAAATGGATCTCAAATCAATGAACACATTAATTGTACGATTCCTGCAATCGTTAACTTTCCTTACATTTCATCCAATTTCAGAAAATCATTATTTATGTCATTTTTGGCACTATTTATAATAACTTATTTATTTATTGGAACCGCTCTTATATGTGATGAATATTTTGTGCCATCACTTGAAGTGATTTGTGATAAATTCAAATTAGGTTTCAATTGATTATTTTTATCATTATTAATTATATTTTACTCAAATTTGATGTATTTGTATGGATAGAGTCAGATATCGCCGGATCCACTTTTATGGCGGCCGGATCTTCAGCCCCAGAATTGGCCACAACTCTGATCGGAGTATTTGTTGCCAAAGACGACATCGGAGTTGGAGCTGTTGTTGGGTCCGCTGTCTTCAACATAGCGTTTGTGATAAGCATTTGTGCCCTTTTTGCCGGTCGTGTCGTTCATATCAATTGGTGGCCAATAATTCGCGACACTTTCTTCTATTTAATTAGTATTTGTATTCTCTTTATTGCAATGTTTGACGAAAAAATATCACTCATTGAATCCATTGCTTTTCTGGCCGTTTATTTCATATATATTTTGTTTATGAAATATAATAAACAAATACGTGATAAGTTTTGCCACACTTTTGCCATTTCTACTACAAATTGTGGCGAATCTTCTGATTTTGTCACTTATAAGACATTAGCAGAAAATGAGACTTTGAATGAAACGGTGAATGCATGTGATGTCGATTGCATTGATGTAAACACTCTTCAATATCATACAAACCAAAGCTGCGATCACTTACACGAAAGTCTAGATAAGTGTCACCCAAATGAAGGATCACTGCCGCAGACAAAAGCCAAACAAATTTGGCAGTCATTCATATCTCCATTAAATCTAATTCATTGGTTAACTCTTCCCAATTGCAGGAATGAAAAGTTTAAAAATTTGTTCGCCTTGACTTTTGTTGTATCATGCATTTGGATATCAATTTATACCTATATTATTGTTTGGATGATTACAATAATCGGTAAATCTATTATTTTAAACCCAAGTTCATAATGAAAATAATATTTTGTTAAACATATGAAATAGGATTCAATTTGCAAATCCCTGACACAGTTATGGGTTTAGTTTTTATCGCTTTCGGCGCCAGTATTCCCGACGCTATCGCCAGCCTTATTGTTGTTCGGCAGGGATTGGTTGACATGGCTTTGACTAATGCTATCGCCAGTAATGTATTCGATATATTGGTTTGTTTAGGTCTTCCATGGTTTTTAAAGACTGCCATAATTGACCCTGGTTCACATGTTGACGTCATTAGCAGGGGTACATCAGTGGTCACATTTACTCTACTTTATATTAATGTAATTTTCATTTATATTCAGGTCTCGAGTACTCGACAGTATCCCTTCTGGCGACTGTCATCTTCTTTCTAGTGATCACTCATTTGAATGGATGGAAACTAAGTGTAAAGTATGGCATTATATTAATGATTTGGTACATTGTCTTTATTTCAATGGCCAGTCTCTATGAACTTAATGTCTTTGGATCCCTAAACCCTGTCGTTTGTTTCACTGACTTCTGATTGCATTACATTTATAATAATAAAAACAATTAAGATGTTAATGAGTTTATATTAATTGTTTTGTAAACTATTATTCAAAACAATTTTTAACAAAGAGAAAGGGTTTGAAAAGATTTCTCCTAATCTATGAAGAATATTACTAAAAATTTTAGTCTAAAATAATTGAATTTATATTAATATTGATTATCAACTCTCTATTGTTTCTCGTGGCTATTAAACCACACTTTGTTGACTCTACATAATTTTATTTATAATTAATTTATACTTTAAAGTTTAAATCATTTGATTATAATTTAATTTTTATATAATATATTTATAAAATGTCATCTCAATTAATGAATTTATCTGATTTTTAAAAATAAACTTTTGTCGATATAAACTTTATATTATAAAGTATCTTTATACTGTATAAGAATTATAATCATAATCTAAAAATACACATTCTTTTAATAAATATCAGACTAAACAATATATTGTAAAAGTATGCAAATTTACAATACATGGAAATGTTTATTGAACAGTCATTTGTAGTTTTTAATTAATTAATGTTTGTAAATATTAAATAGGTTATGTTATTAAATAATATGAATGTTAAAAACATTAATAAACATGTCAAAATACTTTATTCTTATCAAAAATAACAGTGGTGAAATAATATATTAAATAACATCATAAAGTAGAGTAACTGTACGATACTTTCCATTTTCCTTATCTACAGTACATTGAGATTTCAGTCAAACATTTTTATTTGCAATAAAAGTTATACATTGAGAC